AGCCCCCGAGCCGCAGCCGCTGCCACAGCCCCTCTGGCAAAACCCCCCGAACGCCCCCCCGGGCTCCTGCCCCAAACCTCCTAGAAATGCTGGGACACCCAGGTGCCGCTACCCAGCTGGTACAGAGCAACGCGACCTCCTTCCATGGCAGTTTTTGCCGGGTGCAGATCCCTGATCTCGCCTTTCCCCTGCGCTCTGATTACCAGGGATTTACCGGATCCGGCAGGGATGTGCTGCTGGCCCGATCCGGCGCTCTCCCGCTCTCACCGTGACCGGGCTCCGGCCGGGAGGGGGATGTCAGCCTTTCTGCATACAATTTTAAGGAGCTCAGGGCCTCCCGTAATCAGGAGCAGATGGCTGGCATCGGGCAACTTCAAAATCTGCCGTGACGTCAGGGATGTGCACATACACAGACACACACACACACGTGCGCACAAGAATGGGAAAGAAATGGATATGGTGAAATCCCTTTAAAGGGCCCGGCAGCCAGGATTATTTCTTTCTTTCTTTATTTCATTGTTGTTCACCACAGGGAGAGGAAATCCACTTAAACGCGTGAGCTGGGGAGGAGGCCGGGGGGGGGGAGGATTTTCAGCAGATAAAGCTGTTTTGAAGGGACGCACAGGCACGCTGTGGGCTACCCGCATCCGGAGCCAGCAGGGACAGAAAGAAATGAGCCCTTTCCCTCCCTTTGTCAAGATTTTGAGAGATCTAAAACGTGAGCAGTGTCCTTTAGGTGATGCCAAGTGAGTGAGGTGTCCTGCGTGATGCTAAGGTGGCACATGCCCGGTGGGATGATCCAGTGCCGTCCCTGGGATGCCGCGGCTCTGCCAGTGCCGGTGCTGGCGTTGGTGTGTGCAGGGGGTGTGCACATGTGTGCCCGCTCGCCTGCGTGTGTGATGCCTGGCAGCACCAGATGCTTTCTCCTTCGGTGTGTTACAAAATGAGGGTTTTTTTTTCCCCACAGTCGATTTCGAAGCATTACCAATTTCCCTAGGACCTGCAGCCCAGCAGGGTTCATTGGCATGAGCAGCCATCAGCTCCATGCTTCCCTCCCCCACCCCGGACCAGGAATCCTGATCCAGACGGCCTGATCCTGGCTCACGTGCTCTGCCCTGCTGCATCCCTTTCACTGCTTCACTTTTCCTTCCTAAGCTCCTCTGCGGTGGTGGGAGGGGACGGCCTCTGAGCTGTTCTTATGGGGGCCAGATCCTGGCAGGCCCTATGTGGCATAGAAAGGGTTAATCCCAGGCCGATCCTAACAGCTGAAAACGGGGCCCAGTTACATCCAGTTGGAGGGACATAAGGAGCAGCTGGGAGGAGGCTGGGGTTGGGAGGCAGCTGGTGTCTGGTTTGATCCTGCAAATCTGGCAGGTGCTGAGCCTGAGCAGCCCTGGCCGGGGCTGCTGCGAGCCCCCACGCTGATCCCGGGGGAATCGCCCCTAAAGTGGCCCCGCCAGGCACAGCCCTGTGTGCCAGGAGCTCGGTGCCCGACCCAGACCCGTACCCCACAGCATGGCTGGCGTCAAGGGATGATGGAGCATCAAGGACGGAGAGGATGAAGCCGGGGTGGGAGCGGAGGGTTCCCTTAAGCCTGGCCCAAAGGCAGAGCAGTCCCCCAGGATTTGGGGTACCCCCAGCTCTGTGGAGAGGCTGCAGCTGGGAGACCCCTGGCACCCTGTGCCCTGACTCAGTTTCCCTGCAGCGAGCCAGCCCGGGCTCTGCAAATGCTGAGCCTCCCCATCCTTCCCCCCAAAAACCAGGCCCCCCAGACCTGCTGCGGCGCCGGTGGGCTGAGCCGGCCTCTGGAGAGACCCCAGCCCTGCACTCCCGTCCTTGTTCCTCGATCGACTGTCCCCATCCATCTGCACGTCTCTTCCCTTCAGCTGTTCAGCTAATCTGTCTCCATCCATCTAATTTTATCCAGCCGCCAAATGATCTCTTGGAGGAGCCCTGGGGGCATTTGCAACCTGCCTGCGCTCCGTGGCTGCCACCGTGGGGCTGCCTGTGCGCCCGTCCGGGCCGAACCCCAGCCCGGGGGCTGCGGAAAGGGCTCGGCAGGAGGGATGCGACATGGATGCTGTTTTGGAGGGTCCCACACCCAATGCAATGGGTTTGCATGGGCTGGGAAAAACAGCTCATTCCCTAAAACCCCGGGCTGGGTTTGATTTTCCCGGCACCCAGCCCACCTCCCCCAAGCCGAGCGCTCAGACGTTTGCGCTTTCTGACCCATCTTGTCTTCTGACCTTGATAAAAGCGAGCACTTAATAACATTAAAAATGTCATCGTCGGGGGCTCTCCCTCCCTGGCCCTCTTATCCTCCGCGGCTGCCAGTGGTTAATGCATTTGTCGGTATCATCAGTATTAAACTAATCAACAGGACACGGGGGTTTCCGAGAGCCGGACACAAACCAGTATCGTTATTCATATTAAAAAAGCAAGCTATTAATCTGCCCTCGGAGCTCTTACTGAGTCCTTCCCTCCCCCCGGCCGGGAGATTTAATCTGCAGGGTCTCATGGCAGAGTGGCTAAATCTATAGTGGTATTATATAATGGAGCGGAGGAGAGGGGCTGGGAAGGGCACGGAGGGGATGGGGACAGGGATGGGGACGGAGCTGTGCTCCGGGGCTGGCTGGCATGCCCGGGGAGATGCCCGGGAGGGCTCAGCCATGCTCCGGTCCGGGGATAAATCAGCGTCAGGGTGCGGTAGAAACTTCAAAGGGAAGCGCAGATTGCTGGGAGGCCCTAAAGCAAATCCTCGAGGTGGGATGGAAAATGACGGAGGTGGGGGCTGAGCCGGTGAGAGATGGGTCTCCCTTGGGGTCTGGGGTGAGCGATGGGTGCTGGGGAGCCCCTGCACCCGGGTCTGCATCCCCCTGTGCCGGGAGGGGATGCTGCTGATGGGGTCTGCACCGACCCCTCTCCCCGCACCCAAACGTGGCATCGGGAGACTGAAACCCGCTGTGACACCAGACCGGCAAAAATGCTCCTTGCAGCAACCCCCGAACCACTAAAATGACCTTATTAAGTAACGGCGGCAAGACGGAGGTTACCCCCTGTGCGGTGACGAACAGCAGGGATTTCTGCGCTTAGCGGGGAGCTCGCTGGTTGGAAGCAGCAGCGGAGGGGGAAAACCAGGAGGGTCGGGAGACTGAGGGTACCCACAGACAACATGGCTGCAAGAAGGATGCCTCCAAGCCCAGCGGGATGTGTCGGGGTGCAGGTGGGAGGATGCGCCGATCCCCAGGAGCCAAAAGGGGTCCTGGATCAATACAGGGGGTTGGCAGAATGCAGCTTAACCTCTGCTGCAAGCGAAGCGAGCGGCCGCATCCCAGCCCATGGTCCTTCCCTTGCTAAATCCCTGCTGGCCGCAGGAATTAGTCCAGCTTAGCGCGGGGCTGCGCGGCCAAAGCTGCAGCGCTGACAGCGTTGCCCAGGGCTGTCCGGCCATCCCAAGGGCCCTGTCCCCATGGCACATGGGGCCACCTCCCACTGGGGATGCAACAGCTGGCGAGGATGGGGATAGAGGGTTTGGGGTGGGAACTGGGGGCTCTGCCAGGGCAGGGATTTCAGGAAAAAGCCTCCTGGGAAGCATCCCTGGGGGTGCTGGGGATGCTCTGGGCCTGTCCCTCCGTTTGTGGGACATCTGGTCCAAGCACAAAACATCTGAGGAGCAGCAGAGGATGGAAAACGTGTCATTCCAGCTTTGTGCCCCAATTGCGCTGTCCCTGGGGCAGAGCCGGGGCAACGGGGGCGGCCGGAGCTGTGGCGCAGCTGTGCCGAGAATGGCAGAATCAGCCCTGCAGTGCAGGATCTCTGGGGCCGGAGCATTTGTCATTGCGAGGCGGGATGTTTATAAGTCCCCATCTGGAGTCCGGCCATGGTGTCTGTCCCTTTCCCGAGGTCACAGCCCGGCTCTGCCAAGCCCGACCCTTAAAGGAATGCAAAGCAAACGGCCCCGGCTTGGCTTAAACCCCACGTTTTTGTACAAGCAAAGAGCTCAAGTTGGGGTTGGGGTTTTGTCAGCTGGCTGTGCCTCCCTGCTCCTCCGCCACCTGGGAGGTCCCCTCCGTCCTGCCTTGTCCACCCCACAGGGCAGCAGCAGAGGCTCCCTGGGGCTGCCGGCACCATCGCCCAGCCTCGACAGTGCCAGGATCCGGCAGCGGCCGGTGGGATTTGCCCTTCTGCTTCCAATGAGCCCGTTGGGCACACCATACGTTGCTGTTTATAAAGCTGTACGGAGAAACCTTGGCCGGATCCATCCCTGCCCGCCTTAGCCAGGGCTTCCTGGCAGCAGCTGCTGGAGGGGTGATTGCTGTGCCATGGATGTGCCCTGAGCTGGGGACAGAGGGGATGTGTCACATGAGTCTCCCTGTTTGGTTGCGGTGACACCCCGCCTGGTGACGTAGGATGGGGTGATGCGGGTCCCCGGGGACAGCCTTGCTGCTCAGTCCTCACAGGCATGCGGTGACATGCCCGCCTGGCTGCCAGCCCCGCAGCTGCCCGCTCAGCCACCCCATGGGGAGCTGCGGGGGGACATCCTGGGTGACACTGGGTGCCCCAATCACTCTGCGACCTCCCCCCTCCTCCTGGAGCCCCTGGGGGAAACCCTGGCTTACAGCACCAGTGTAACGAGTTTGCTGGGCCGATCTGGTTCCTAATCCCCGGCCACAGGGGACCGG